GTGGGGTAGAGGAAGGGATTGAAAACATGGGTGAGGGGGCAATGGAGGGTGGGAATAGGAGACAAGATGAAGAAGGTGTCAGGAAGACCTGGAGCAGTGGACAGGGCAGGGAGAGATCCATGTAGGGAAAACAGAAGCCATAGTTTTGGAGCTGGGGATCGGAGCTGAGAAAGGAGGACCAGACGTGGAGGACATGGGGGGGGAGCAGAGCCTACTTACCACCCCTGTGCCTTCACTGGCCTAGGTGGGTGGCCTACCAGTACCCAGGCTACCGGGGCTACCAGTATGTATTGGAGCAGGACCGCCACAGCGGGGAGTTCCGTAACTACAGTGAATTCGGCACGCAGGCCCACACTGGGCAGCTGCAGTCCATTCGGAGAGTCCAGCACTAGGCTCCACAGCCCCGGCGCCTCCCATGAGGACCCTCAATAAAGGCTCCTGAACCTGCCTGCCCCTCTTGCCTCCTTTTTGGTGTCTTGCTTTGCAATCTCCTTCCTTATCCTTCTGAGGGTCCTTCTCTGCCAACCCTCCCCTCCGCTCTGGCTCCAGGACCCTTGACTGGAGCATACACTGGCTTAGGATGTATGTGGCTGATGGGTCTGAGATGAAAATGCTGGTAAGAATCCTGGGGATCCTGTTAAATGCAACCAGCCCCACACCTCTCCTTGGCAAAGGCCTATCAGCTTGGACCAGGTGTACCGCTAGCCCAGATCGTTCCTTTGCCATCCTCTGGTTTGGGCGCACATAGCTCCACGGCAGGGCTCATAGCTGAATTTCAACCTTCACACCCCCCCTGGGCCAGGCTCCAGCATTCGGGGCAGGACCTCCTTAGCTCTGTGCAGCAGCCCTGCTGGGCTCCTCTCTGACCCCCACCCCTACCTTTTTGAGCCTCTATCTTCACCCTGGCTCCCTACCCAGCCTAAGGGAAGCTTGCACCCATTTCCCAGCTTTGTAGAATCTCCGCCTTATAGAGGAGCAAGGGTGTGAGAGGGGTAATTGCTGGGAGGTCCCACTGCCTCCTAGAGGAGATGTGCTTTCTCTGAATAAAGCCCTAGGCCCTTTGAATAAAGATCCCTTGTGGTATTGAGCTCCAGCATTTATTGTACAAAGCATTTGCATACCTTGCCTCTCAGCTGTCTCAAAAACCCCCTCTTCATTCTTCCTCCTCCTCCCCACTCTTCAGAGGACTAGTGAGCTGCAGAGGCCACCCCTGAGCCACTGACCACAGCGAGCCTGGGTTCTGGGGCAGGTGGTAGAAGCCCACAGCCATGGTGGGGTTGAATGTGGCAGCAGCCATCAGAGTCCGTGGCACCAATGTGGCTTCTTTCCAGCTCCCTCTTTGGCTCAGTTTATGATAATCTCACCCACATAGGCAGGGCCTTCAAGGTCCTTGGGAGGCCCTTCATCCTGTCTCTCAGGGATGCTTGAGTTTTCAAGCCCCTGGTGGACCAATCCATGGGGAGGGGTGGCCCAGATCATTGCCCCAGCCCAAGGGAGTCAAAGCGATGTTGGAGAAAAGTCAGATTTGGACCTGAGCATTTCCCAGGGGCCCAGCTGTGCACAGTCAGGCATCTGCTCCCTTGGGAAGAGTCCTGGACCAGAGGTCAGAACACCTGGGACCCAGTCACATAGCATCCCCCAGCCTCAATTCCCTCACCTATAAACTGGGGCTATTGAGTCCTGCCTTGTCTCTCTCACAGGGTTGTTGTGAGGATTCAAGGAGAACTGCCTGAAAATGGTTGTGGTTCAGAAAAGAACTAGGGCACTTACCATAGGACCTCCCTTCCCTGCCTCTCCCCATGGATCTCAGGGTTGGGTCAGGGGACCAAGGACAGAGTTCTAGGTGGGGTATGAATTCTGCTTCCTACCTAGATGGGTTCTGAAGTCCATCGCCCCTGTCACATTTGATCCTCCTAATAGCTTCCATTCTTCATCCATTTCACCAATGAAGAAACTGCAGCTCCTCTGAGAGGGAGAAGCCTTGATGAGGTCATCCACTTAATTGGTGACAAAGCCAGGACCTGAACACAGGGCTCCAGACCCCAAATCCAGGCTGTTAACCGGAGGCTGACCTGAGCTGTGGCCAAAAGCCTCAGGCCTCAGCAGAGCCCCAAACCTTTGTGGGCTCCAGAGAAGCCTGGGGTTCCCGTGTGGTCACAGGCTCCTAACTGTCCCCTTGTGGGCATGGTAATAGTAACAACAGCTAAATATATGCAGCTTTGCCTGAGCACTCAGCATGTGTTATATAAGCCTAATAATTCTGTATGGTTGGTACTATAATCCCCATTTTACAGATGAATAGACTAAGGTACAGAGGTTATGTAACTTCCCCAAAAGCCACGCAACTAGGAAATGGGGGATCTGGAGTTGAGCCCAGACCCAGACAAACTGGTCTCAGAGCCCAGCAGCCCATCTCTGCACTGCCTGTATTGGGGGCAGGCAGTGGGCAAAGGGAGATCTGGTATCTACCATAAGCTGAGCTGCCTTCCCTCCAAGAAGGTCCATGGTTACTAGGACCACCCAGCAAGATGCTTTCAGGAACTGGCAGTGTCACCCTGCCAGGGTACGCCCTGTCTCTACAGGTGTCCCCACCTGCACAATGAAGGAGTTGGGGGAGCTAATATTTGTTGCAGCCTTTGCCAGCATGGACCTTCTAGGTTTTCTTAGACCCATGGGTCCAACTCTGCTCCCCACATTAGCAAATAAGGAGGGGGTGCGCAGAGGCCAGGCTGGGCCTGAGTGTTCTCACCTTCCCACCGTCCCTCTATTCTGGGCAGGCTGATGGTCTGCAGAACACGGTGGGGCTCACACCCAGCCAGGTGGGAGGATGATGGCAGGGAAGCTGCCTGGATTTGCTCATTGGCTGCGCTCAGCCAAAGGCCAAAGGGGACGGAGGAGGTCATATCCTTTCCATTGGTGCAGCCGAGACCCAGGTGCAGTAGGGGTGCCCCTCACTCCCTTACAGACTCTTCGCAGAGCCCACCTACCCCTCAGTCCCTGAGTCCTCAGTGAGGTGGGCGTGGGGGCGGAGGCTGAGCTGTTGATCCTTCATCAGCTCGGAGCTGGGATGTCCGGATAGATGCCCTCTCTAAGCGCCTCTCCCTTCTGCCTCTGCCTTCCACTCCGAGCATTAGTGGATGAAACTTGCTGCCTCCCCATTCTTGCAACTCTGGCCTCCTGTTCCTCATTTTCTATCTGGGGAAGTGACAAGAAAGCATGAAGGACAGAGAGCGAGACCTCGGCCGGCCCCCAAGACCCTCTGCTCCCTCAAAGCCCTGAGTTTTGTTCCTAGGGAGCATCCCAACCTCTCATCTTTCCCCCCCCCCCCCCCATTCCCCCTGCACATCCTGAAGTCCCCCCCCCTGTCCCTTTAGGATCCTCTAGGGTCCTGGGATTCCCCCCCCCCATTTTCCCCTAGACTCACCTCCCACACTCCTCCTTGGTTCCTTCTGATTTTTGTACCCTCCACCAGCAAGGAGGAACACCCCAGGAGTTAACAGCAAGTGAAGAATGCAAGAGGCCCCACAGAAACCCCTCCCCCAGCTGGACTTCCCAGCCATCCTCAGTCAGGCAACCCAGGACCAGGGATCCTGCAGAAAACCTGCCCACTTCCATCCAAGTGCCCTGAAGTCCCAGGCCTCCTCACCTCCTGAAGTCAAGCAGTGGGAGAGAAAGGCCTTGAGATTATCGATTCTGACCGGAGTCACCGGGTGCTGCATGGCTGCAGGTGGGCTCCTGTCTCAGAGACCCATCTTCAGGCAGCATCCCTCCTTAGTGTGCCCCTCCAGAGCCAGGAAGCCCCACAGGTACCCAGAGACTCCAGGCCACCTGGGAACCACATCAGCTTTGCTAATACCCCCCTTTGCCCCTTTCTCGGAGTGTATTTACTTCCACTCCCCCTGGGTTGGGGACCTTGTACGGTGCACCTGTTTTAACTCCTCTACTCCTGCTAGAGCAAGGTGCCAACTGCAGCCTAGTTCTGGGATAATCAGGACGGGAATAGTTGTGAGGGTAGATGGTAAGCTGGGATGACAAGGGATGGGGAAAGATAGAAGAGAAATGGTTGCGGGGGATGGAAGGGGGATCACGAGTCACCCATTTGCTACAAATTAGTGAGAACAAACGAATGAGAAAAGGAAGGGAAAGAGAGAGATGGGATGGAGAGGTAGAGAGGAGACAGAAGGGAGATGGGAGGAGGAGGGACTACATGGAAGAAGAAGGAGAGACCTAGAAAGGGGGAGGAAGGACAAGCCACTAAAAGTTGTGCGGGAGACGCCCCAGCGCTGGCCCAGAGGCCTGGGAGCCCCGGAAAGGCAGGAAACCGGGGAAAACAAGAGGGAGACAGGGAAGGAGATCGGGTCACCAGGGAAGAGCAGAGAGGGGGAGAGGAGAGGAGGGAGGAGTAGCGGGGATGGAGGAAGCGGGGTAGATAAAGGGAGCAACGGCTGCCGACCCGGAGCGCAGCGACTGGAGAGAGGGAGGGAAGCGGAAATTTAAAAGTGAAGATGCAGATAACGCAGCCTGGAGACGGGAACCCGGGTGGGGGTGGGGTGGGGAGAGGGGAGGAGAGTGGAGCGGTGAGGTGGGGGGTGATGGGTGAGAAGGAGGGAGCCCCCTACCCCCTTGTGGCCCCGGGGGTACCAAGGATTGGGGTACCCCGCCCCAATCCTGTTTGCTCAGAGTCAGGGAGGCGGAAAAGAAATGGGCTCCTGACCCCTGCCAGAGCGCGAGGCCCAGGCCCATCCCCCGCGCGTCTCCCGGGTTGCGAGGTGCGGGGGGCTGCCGGGTGCGCTTGGCTGCCGCGCGGCAAGTCGGAGACTTTATTGCGATGGGGCGATAAGAGGGGCGGGGGCGGGGTCCGGGGGGCCGAGGCTGCAGCTCTTTAATTAAAACGGAAATTGCGGCCCCTGCCCGCGCGGGGGCCCGGAGGGTTCCGAGCAGCCTGGTAGCTGGGAGCATCGCTCCAGGACCCCTCCATCCCCCGCCACGCCCGGGCAGCCCCCTCCCGCCAGGCCTTGCTGGACCCAGCGCCTTCTCCCTGTCACCCGCTGTCGCCTCGGGCGGGGATCGGTGCCCCGGAGCGCAAAGCCTGACGCGATCCCCCTCTCCCACCCCCACCCCCACCTCCCACCGCCCAGGCCCTGGCGGCGATGAGACAGAGCGGCGCCTCCCAGCCCCTGCTGATCAACATGTACCTGCCAGGTACCAGGGACCAGCCGGGGGCTGGAGGCACCAGGACCCGGGGCGGGAAGTCTGGGCTGGGGCTTGGAAAGGGGATACTGCGGTCCAAGGGAAGGGGGCGCGGTCCAGAGAATCGGATCTCTGGGAGAACTGAGCAGTCTAGGGCGCTGGGAGACCTTAAAGGCAGATGGAGCGCTTTGGGGTTTTAGTGTGAGATTTAGAGGACCTGAAGTGAGCCGACTGGGAGCCTGGGAAGCCAAGAGCGCCAGCTCAGCGGCTGAAAGAGCCTGGCAGGGGGAGCAGAGGTCTACAGTGTGGCAGGGGACTCAGTGCGCATGCAGTGTTGGGAGGCTGTGGTCAGCCGGGAGTCTCCTGTGCACCCTCGTGGCCCCTCACCTCCGTGCTCCGAGCGTTCCCACCAGCCCAGCTTTCCAGGCGCCCTCTCCTCTCCGGTGGGCTCTGCACGCTCCGGCTCGCCGGCGCAAACCCCGCTCGGCTTTATAAGGCTCCCGCCGGCCCGTTCAGAAAGCGGATTTCCTTTTTCCTGGACGCGTTTCCTGACTTGGGCGTTATGGAGGGGCTCCGCGCGGCGCGCGCCCGGGCCAGGCTCCGGGAGGAGGAGCCGGACGGATCGGGCCCCCAGCCTCGCGCCGGGGAGCCAAGGCACCCCCCTGTTCCCCCTTGAGCCTTGGCCTGGGGCCCTTTCGGGCAAGTCGGCAACCTCCGCCTCGATCCGCCTGATTGTTTTCTCCTGCTGCCACAGATCCCGTCGGAGACGGTCTCTTCAAGGAAGGAAAGAGCCCGGGGTGGGGGCCGCTGAGCCCCGCGGTACAAAAAGGTGAGCTGGCCAGCGGGGTGGACGGGCGGAGGCGAAGACAGTGGATCGGGTCTGGGGTACCCACCGCATACGGACAGGCGCCACTGCCATCTGAACAGAGGGTGGGAGAGATGCGCGATGCTGGGCTTTGGGAAGCAGAGGGTCGGGGCATGATTGTGGGGAGGCTCGGGGTGGGGGGAACATTCATTTGGCCTTTGCCTCCTGCACCTTCTGAGACCCAGGGTTGAACTCGATGGCCAGGGCAGATGAAGATCCTGCCCCCACCCCCTTTTCAGCTGGGAATGTTTTTCCTGCTGTGGGGCTGGGGCTGAGGTGCTTGGTGTCATTTCCCTACTGGGAAGCGGGAGCCCAAGGCATCGGTACCGCCCAGCAAGGTGACCCGGAGAATTATTCCCTGGCCACTCCAGGCCGACTCACCATTAGCACCAGGGCTAGCATCCACCTGCCCCACTGGCCCATGCCAGGCTCTGTGAGCCAAGCCCTCTGGGCCGTTGCAGTTGATTCCCAGGTTGGCCACCCAGTCTCTGCCGGTGGCTAAATTATCCTCGGTTTTGCCATGTTGGCAGCCGAACCTGGCCGGCCTTCCAGGCCAAGCCTCCCCACAGGTCCCCACCCAGTCGGTACCCTAGGTCTCACCAAGTTACCGTAACCAGAAAAACAAGGTTGGCAACTGCTTTATCCAAAAGGGAACACAACACCCAACAGGAATGAGCTTCCAAGCCTCTACGCCCCTCAGTACCAGATGCACATTTTAACCCAAATCTTCCCTTGCTTCTGACCCTAAAATTCAACAGTCCTGACCTGGAGCCAGGCAGCTCCTCACCGGGCTGGTGTGGAGGGACTTGGATCAAAATGATGTTGGAGGGCAGCATCTGGGTCCTGAGCGAGTTGTTGAAAAAAGAAGAGTTTCAGCAGGCTCAATTTAAAACAGACAGTTTCGAGGAAAATCCTTTATTCTGAAAGAGTGTGTGTGTGGGGGAGGGCGGGTAATGCTATCAAGATTTTTCTCCAACTGTCTGATTGAGGCTCCAAGACAGAGAAGCAGGAGTTCTCTCTCACTACCCACTTACCCGGGAAAGCCTCCTGGCCGTTTTTAGCACCCCCCCAAATCCAGACGGGGCAGAAGAGTCTGGAGATTAGCCAAAGATGGGAGGAGGCAGGGAGCCAAGCAGAGAGGCTTCCCGGTCTCCTCTCCTCTTCTCAGAGCGGCGCATCACGCCCCCAGGGAACTACGACACCTTGGTACCCTGGGAATCCCGCCTGTTTCGAAAAAAGAGGCCGAACCGGAGTAGCCCCAGCACCAGACGCTGGCAAGGGTGGGGAGACTTCAGAGGCTGCCGTTCCTCTCACGCTTAGGGAGCCACTGTGCCCATTCTTGTCTGATGTGGTACCTCGAGGAAGCCAGCCACCACCTCGTCTCCACCTCGGGCAGGGGGTGCAACTGTATGCCTTGTCCGGTGGCTGGGGTGATCCTGCTGCAGGCCTGCTTCTTCCCTCTGGATCTCTGGACGTGGTCCGGCTGGGATGTGGCAGTCTAACCACCTATGTAGGCTACCCTGTGCGGTTGTGCAGGCTCTGCACCGAGTAAGAGCACTAAGCCGAAGGGCTGATATCCCGCCTTTGCTCACCTCCGAGAGCCCTGTGCCTTGGAGCGCCTCTACCTCTGTACAGAGGAGGTGATGCTTCCCTTTCTCACCCTAGTTCTCATAAAGCTGTGCGCCCGCGGGGTTGCGTCCTCCTTAGTGGGAGACTCGTTTCCATTGTGCAAAAGCGCGGTACTGGCTAGGGACGGCTTTGCTGATCAGCCCCTCCCTGGCCAGCCGCCCCAGCTGTGCCCAGTTACACAGCTGGACGTGCCCTTTTCCCCCCTGGTATCGGTCCCCACCCCCGACTCGGCGGGGAGGGAGGTCGTCTCCCACCTCACCTCTTCCCCCGCCGCTAGCCTCCCTCATCCCGCCGGTGGCTGACTGCCCCGCTTCCCCACAGGCAGCGGCCAGATCCAGCTGTGGCAGTTTCTGCTGGAGCTGCTGGCTGACCGCGCCAACGCCGGCTGCATCGCGTGGGAGGGTGGCCACGGCGAGTTCAAGCTCACGGACCCAGACGAGGTGGCGCGGCGCTGGGGCGAGCGCAAGAGCAAGCCCAACATGAACTACGACAAGCTGAGCCGCGCGCTGCGCTACTACTATGACAAGAACATCATGAGCAAGGTGCACGGCAAGCGCTACGCCTACCGCTTCGACTTCCAGGGCCTGGCGCAGGCCTGCCAGCCGCCCCCCGCGCACGCTCACGCCGCCGCCGCCGCCGCGGCCGCCGCCGCCGCCGCCGCCCAGGAAGGCGCACTCTACAAGCTGCAGCCCAGCCTGGCCCCACTGCCCTTCCCCGGCCTCTCCAAACTCAACCTCATGGCCGCCTCGGCCGGCGTCGCGCCCGCCGGCTTCTCCTACTGGCCGGGTCCGGGCCCCGCCGCCGCCGCCGCCGCCACCGCCGCGCTCTACCCCAGCCCCGGGTTGCAGCCCCCGTCCGGGCCCTTCGGCGCGGTGGCCGCCGCCTCGCACCTGGGGGGCCATTACCACTAGACGGGGCGGCCGGATGCCCCGTGGCCTCTCCCAGACGCCCAGAGCCTCGCTCAATCCCATCCGCATCCCGGAGAGGGGCCGGCGCCTCCGCCGCCGTTCCTTCAACCTCAGATTTTACTCCGCCCGCTGCACCCCCCCGGGGGAAGGGGCCTGTAGTCGCCTCAATCTTCCTTTAACACCGGATTTGCCCCCCGCCTCATCCCGCAACCCCCGAGGGAGGGTGACTGTGCCTGCATTTCCTCTAACCTTCTTCTAGACCTCAGATCCCTGAAAGGGGTTCTCGGGTCTCCCCTGATTTTTCCTCCCCTCCATCTGTACTTCCCTCTGGCTTCTGGAAGCCCCGCCATTATGATCCCTCTCTTATTCCAAATTTTCTCTCTCTCTCTTTTTTTTGTCCCCAACGGAGCTCCCCCGATTCCAGTATGGCCGAGGCCCAGCAGAGTCCACCTTCTCCTCCCCTGGCACCTCAGCGGGCTTGGTAAGGGCCGCGTCTCCCTTGACACTTCTAAGTAGCTTCCGGGCCCCCTTCCTCCCGCCCCCAACTTCCCACAGGACTGCCTTGTGTTTCTATTCCCTTCCAGACCTATTAAAGCTCCCAAGCTCCCCACTGCCTCTTCTCTCTGTTCTTAGCTGCACCAAAACCTTGGCTGGGGTTGGGGGTGGGTGTGGTTGTGGGAAAGGTCGTGAGACGCCCAGGTCAGGCCTGAGCAGAAAGGCCTGCCAAGGAAAAGCTCGAGAGAATGAGGGCAGGCAGGCTTGGGTGCTACTGGAGGGGAGCGCGGAGCCTCTAATGCATGGGCTCCTGCTGCAGCGCCCCTCCTACCTGGCAGTCGAGCCCAGCCTGCCTCATCCGGCCTTCCACTTGCCCCTTCCCCCTACCCCATCCCAACTTCCCTCCCAACGCGCAGCGGCATGCCACCTTCCCCCATCTCACCCATCCTTACGCAAGTTCCTCACCTCCTCCCAACCTCCACCCCACCTTGTCTCATCTTCACACCATCTCAATCTTTCCTCAGTCCCTCCATTTCATCCCCTTCCCCACCTCTCCTCTCCTCCCCATCCTACCTTCACTCAGACTTTCTCTCTCACTCCCACTCACAAACGCTCCCCTCCCCGGTCCCCCTATCTCCAGCAGTATCTTTTCTCTGGATCTGCCTCCTGGTTTTCAGGAGGAGGGAATCTCCCCTTCTGCGCCTGCCGCTCCCCTCCGGGCTTGCGGCTGCAACCTCCTTCTCGCGGGCGGCGCGCGCCCTCTGCTGGTCTCAGGAGGGTAAGCCAGAGCCAGGTTTTGCAGCTAAACTGAGAACCCGACACTTCAGGCCAAACTTGGCTTTCAGAGAGGAGGGCGAAAAGGGGGAACCCTAGCCCTGCACCCCAGGTCCGACCTCGAGAAGTCTGGGAAGTGGGTCATCCTCCTGGCAGGGCCATTTTCCTCACCACCTGAGGCCCTTTGAATACTGTGCCCACCGGGGGCCACGGCTCTTATGCTTTCTCCGTGCCTTTTACAAAACCTGTTGGCAGGAAAACTGCCTTGAACGCGTTCCTTTAGGCGGAAACAACACGGGAGAGGTACTTGAAGTGATAGCCAGAACTCTGAGCTGCACACCAAGGTAAGCTCATTGCTCCCCCTTCTCCATGGTCCTAGTGTTTCTTTCCCAGAAGCCATATCTCTTCCTGGACCAAAGGTTCCTCGCTAGTTGGTGGGAGAGTGCCTGGGTTCCCACAAGGCAGTTGAGATTTCCCTGTGCCCCATGGGCCGGAAGGGAAAATGCAGGGGGAAGGCAGGAGAACTAAGTGCAGGGAGGGTCTGAATGCCCCTTCCTAAAGGGAATGAAATCATCGAGGTCCACCTAGGGAAAGAGTCTTTACTTCTTTTCATTTCATCTTCACTTTATTTTTTTCTGGTTTTCCAAATAACACACTCAGCATAGAAAATTTGGAAAATACACAATAAGGGCTCCATGAAATATTAGTTGAATTAAGCATGTAACGAAACATGGGGAAAAGTCACCTACAGTCTCATTACACAAAGGCCACTATTTATAATGCTTTGTCTTAATCTCCTTTTTTGTCTGTGCCCTTTGGAATTGAATGGTACCCTGCTTTAGTCCCTTAACATTCTGGTATCAGCATGGTCCATGCCGTTGTTATGCTCTCTAGACTTCATGGGGTAAGAAGGTGTGGAATCATGTATTCCAAGGAGCAGGTGGCCAGGGGAGGAATCCAGCCTGGTGAGGGCCTCAGGGACTTAGAGGGAGAGGCAAAGGGCCTCTTTGCAGGGGGCAGAAGTTGGGAGGGAGAAAGAATGCACTGGGGAGACAGAACCAGGTTCCAGAAAGATCTGGGCTGCTAAGAATTGTGGGTTGAATGTAAAAAGGTGAAATTTCCTGGCAAGAAGTGTGAGGTCCTGTACTTAGATCTCTAAAGGCTAGAGTGTGAGACATGCAAGGGTGGTGCTCTGTAGAGCCTATGTGTAAATTAGTGGTGTCTTAGTTAACACAATGTTACACGGGAGCCTGTATGGTAAATGCAGAAAAAACCATTGTGATCTGAGGACACATTGATGCAGCTATGGCACTCTAGGATGCAGGAAATGATCCACTTGCTATAATGATTGTGCCCCCAGCATATTGTACACAGTGTTAGATAACACTTTCAGGAGGAGACCAAACAGACAGAATAGTGGACCCAGGAAGTGAGGAGGAACGATGCTGGAAAACCAGCCATGGGAGATGTGGTCTGGAAAATCATAGTGGGGAAAGAGGCATGGGAGCTGTCCTCAGTTATTCAAAGAGATGTCCTGTGGCAGAGCACCTGGATGCGTGTACTGGGACACACGGTAGAAAACTACAGTGAGACATATATGTCAGCCTGATCTAATGGAGAACCTTCTGCTATGGACCATGATGAGGAGTGCTTTGTCACTGGAGTGTTCAGCAGACCCTTCCTTGGAGGTTGAGAGGGGAGGTGTACTAGGTGACTTCAACCTTGAGACTCTTGAAGTCCAGTGAGTGAGTTGGTAAAGGAGGGATTTAGACATCGTTGGGAAGCTGGGGGAGGTCTTGTTAGATTAGGGGGTCTTCTTACCTGTGATATCACATCCTTAAAGCTCACCTTGCCCCTCTGTTCTTCCCTGCATGAAGAGCCAATTTGGGAAGCTGGGCATTGGAAAACCCGAGTTCTGGTCCCAGATTGTCAACTGACTTGCTAGTTAACCTTCAGATAATTCTGGGATTCCATTCACTGTGGTCTTGGGTTGACTCTACTCCACCCAAACCCTGATGAAGCCACACTCTTACCACACTCAGCTTCCTGTGATCCAGGCCTGTCCTCATTGACCCTTAACCTCTTGGTCCTTGGCTCCCCAAGATATTGATCCCACCATTGCTTCTCTCTCCCAATCCAGTGTCCAGCCCCTCTCTCATTCCCTGAAGGTCTGAGCCTTTTCTCTATCTCTTCACTCATGTCATTGGTGAAAATATGGCTCACTTCCCTACCCCTTGCCACGTGCTTGCACGACAGAGTTTACAGAACACTTTCACATCCATTGTTTTATTGATCCCCTCCAGGGTCACGGAGGAAGATAGGGCAGGGATTGCTTTATCCACTTGGAGGATGAGTAAACCAAAGCCCAAGATGTTAAAAAACTTGGCCAAAGTCTCAGGGCTTGTTCTAGGACCTGTGCCTCTGGTTCCTCACCAGGCCTTTTCCCAGTGCTCGGAGTGGTTTCTCCATCGTCCCAAGTGGCCTTGGTCACTGTGTTTGTAGGATCACTCCCCCCGCCCTCCCGGGGTTACACAGACCTGTGTGTCCTCCAGTAACGTGTGCTCCTTGTGACCAAGCTCCACTTGCCGTCATTTGCAGATGGAATCAAAAGTCCAGCTAGCATGCTGTGTGAGGACATCCATGCCCACACACTGCCCTAGACCTGCACAGCCACAGAGAAATGATATCACCTAGGGCACCGAGGCTTACAAAACATTTTCTCATACATAAGCCCATGTGACCGTAGACAGACATCAAAATGCATTAGATCTCACTGTGATGTGCTTTTCTCAGAGCCTTCTGCTTTTTCGGCCTTCATTTTCCCTTCAATGTGTCTTTGAAATGCACTTAACTTGTTCCTCAACCTCTTTTTATAATTCACATCAAGTAGACCTGCTGATAATAAAAATGTGCCCTACCATTCATTGAACCTGACTCTGCGCCAGGCTCTGCCCTGTGCTAACGCTTTACCTGTGGTCTCTCCTTTGACTTGGCCACACCTTGCCAGGTGGGGATGGTTACCTCCACTTTCAGATGAGGAAACTGAGGCTTGGAGAAGTTAAGTGACCGGTTCAGCCTGTGACCCCAGAGCTCAAGTCCTCACCCATCACACCAGATCCCCTCTCACTGGGCCTTCCTGGAAAGCTTCTTCATGTGGATGTGACCTGCAGCCTACCCATCGCAGACATACTCCATCTAATTGTCTAGTCGTAGCAGAAAATGACAGGTTATAATGGACACATTGATGACTTGTCTTACGCATGTCTTTAGTTAGTTAGTGCCTCTGTCTGATTTAAAAAAAAAAATCAGACTGTTCTGTTGCCCCACTGTCTTTTGCAAGCCTTCACTTTCCTAACTGTGCTCCTACAACCTTTGAGTAGATCACTGTACGCTAGGGTGTGGCTGAGGGTCTGACTACAACTTGACTTTGGTGGCAATTCCTACATCAGTTTGGTCAGCAAGATTTTCCCCTGACCCTCCTCTTTCCTGGGATGGTGGGTCTTGAGGCAAGTGGCCCAATGTCCCATTGACTGTAACTTTTTCTATTTCTGAGAATTCTCTCCTACTGGATCTTCTTTGCTATTTCCTCCTTTCCTTTCTTTGTAAACAAAAGGCATGATGGTTAAGTGCAAGGGCTCTGGGGCTGGACATCCTAGGTTCAAGTGCTGGCTCTGTTACTTACTAGCTGCGTGACCTCGAGCAATTTACTTACTTCTTTGTGCCTCAATTACTCC